GTTTATCAAGCCTGAGCACAATACTGAATACACGATAACTATTTTTGGCCGATACCTCCCTTGTAAAGGAGGCGCTTGAATGCGACATGAGGAGACGATCAATGCGCATCTGCATCCAAACGTGCAGTAAACCTTTGACATTTTGAGGATTCCAGACGTCGCGATTGCACAATGCGCGCATCCACGTACACATATATACGAACGGAGGGAGAGTGGCGCTTTATCTGCCAAAGAGAGTGTAATCGATGCGTCTGCTAGCATACTTTTCCGATTCGGCCGTCACGGATATTCGCTTTCGGAACGAGAAGTGGAACGATCTTGTTAAAAGACTTCGGCACAATGGAGCCGGACCATCGTACAGCGCGCACCGTGAAATTGACCGGTTACACTTGTAATTAAGCATACAATGGCCTGTAATGGCCGTTCACCGGCGTTCGAACAGCTCGACTCGTCTTAGTTCGGCGCTCGACCGATAAGCGTAATAACACGTTCACGAAAATTTTACACCTGCCGACATCCGCGAATAATAATCGGTGACGCGACACTCGCGACACTCGCACACGGAGATGCACTCCGTGATCTTTCTCTCTCTTTCGATGAAAGACCTCGTCACTTTCACTCTGCATCACGAACGGCGAATTTATGTAACTTTCTGGTAGTGCTCGATGTTTCCCAATTATGGGCATACCTTTAAGTATAAAATCATTGTATACGAGACATTGGTGTCATATCAACGTTTTTCACGATAATTTCACGAAGAAGCGAAACGTGTGTAATTCTATATGAATAATCTTCTAGGAATATCTAATCGCTCCACGAGATCAGACTGAGATCTCATTTTGCGAAATCAAGCGCGAGCGAAGCTGTTTAGGATACCTAAGACTGTCTCTTTAGCTAGCCTAAGGACATCAGTAACATTCAACCGTTTCCGAAGGTCCGAGAAGCAACGAAGCGTGGGGAAAACAAGCAGAACTGGTCTCGAGCGCGTTGTATTAAACTACGCAGGATCAGGACTTCAATCGGCTTGACTCGCAATAATAATCGTAGACCCGACGTTTGCAAACGATCTTTGCAAACGTTACGTGCATCGATTAAAGAGCACCATTCGTGATAGGCTATCAATGCAGATTTTTAATAATCAAACTCGAAATGGAGCATATAAAATCGTTCTTAATAAAGGAAAATATAAAATTTAAAACGCTGAAGATGAAGTACGATAGAGGTGATGATGGATCGTTGTGGCACTTTGAAAACGGACGCAGGAAAAGGTGGACACTTTTCTGTCATGCTACTCTCCTGTCGCGATTCCTACGATCATTTTGCACCATAATCCTTTTGTCCGTTAATGTTAATACTGAGGATTGCCTTGAGTGATATAAATGCATTCAAGTGGTCTAGACGGTGCGTTGAGTAACGCGATACATTCCCATGGCGTAGGAGACTTTACGTTGAAAAAAATGGCTGTTTCAAGTAGAAATTTCATTTTAATAGCGAGCCACTTCATTTTCTAATCATACTCGATATCCGTATGATCGGCATAATTTCCGTTTTTGTATAATTACGTGTACAATATTCGGACAGATTGTGCTCTTTAGTTTCGTAGCAAGCACGCGTTGCGTCATGCGTAATTTGATTTTGACCGAATCGCGGGTGTGCATAGATAATGTTGAAAAGTTACGCAAGATTCCGTCGCGATTGCGATCAAGGTGAAAGTCTTCGAGCTCGGTAGAGCGAAACTTAGTGGTATCAGCAGGCGAGTCTCATAAATTACAGGCAATGTCGTTGGAGAATGTCCTTTAACGACGAGCAACAAGGGAGCCTTTTCTGCCTCGAGGATAATCGCGTGCTTCGCGATGGACTTGTATGTTTTTCATTCGTTTTTCGTGACATGGTCCAGCAACGATACGGATTCGTTCCTGACGATTTCCCCGTCACGGCGTGTAGATGTTTATCTTGCGAGCCTCCAAGATTTTTAACGTACAATTATCCCGCGCTTATCCACGAACGTGAACCGAGTCGCCTTGTATATATGCCTTCCACGCAGATTAATTCTAGCACATTACACTTAATTAAGAATTTCATAGCGAGCTGAAATTTTTATCCTAACAACTGAAAAATATCCTGTCCCGCATATAAAAATAGTTTTATGAAACAAATGATTGCTTATAACGTCCATTTTTTGCGACATAAAAATAATTTGAAAATATAAAACTAAATATGTATAACTGTGTAATAAATAACATACGGAGAAATATAATTTATTTTAAGGACAATATTGTAAAAAGACTTGAAGGTTTTAGTACATTAGAATGTATATCACTTCGTCACTATTTCCTACAATTAATTATAAGTTTTTTCCTGAGAAACCGGAGATACCAAACGGTACTTTAGCGTCGTTACGAATGCACTTTTTTCACGAATGTAAGACGCTTTCACTGAAATACTCAAGATATAAGTTAAGAATATTTCTGTAACAGAGACGCATATTATAGAGTGAGAATAAAAAGATAGCATGACAAGATATATAATTAAATTAACATTGTCCGAATAATACGGTAAGAATTAAACGAGAATTTAATTCATTATTCTCAAGATAATTGTATATTGAAGATATCTTATGATGGAAAAAAGATGACGAAGATTGTTGACTATTGAAGATTGTTGACTCCGCGCGATGATCACATTAACAACAATAACATCAATTGGCATTATTTCAACGTATTTATTAATCAGAACTACTTTATATTATGACGTCACTGTAACATAATTATAAAAAGAATAAAAACTTTCCATTGTGTAATTCTATCGTCGTAATCTTTTTTTAGTAACTACATAAAAATAAAGGACATAAAAAGGACATAAAATAAATAAAAAATAAAATTCCGAGGCAATCAAGTCAATATTTATCGTTCGTTCAGTAGGAATGTAGCGCGAGGTTTTTCTGATGCGGATCTTTATTAATAAGAACCGCTCGAAGTATTCAAGAATGAATCTTTGCGGTGCGGCGGTTTTTCAAGTTTAGAAACATTAATGTGTCATCGTCTCCGTGGATTATGTCATGGAGGAAGGATCCTGCATAGAATCGACCCGGGTGAGCGTCGAGCTCCTTCTTCCTCGAAAGAACTCCCCGCATTGGCTCTGGGGTGAATCAGTCCTTTGTGCTGGGCACTCTCAGGGTCAACCACTTTCGGTGCAGTATATACCTCCGACGGTTTGTATGTACACTCGCAAACACACTCGCCAGTTCCGAGCGTTGCCTACAGGGTATCCTGAAAGTCGCTACGTAGCCAACAGTCAAGTACCACTGAGCTAGCTAGGTATTTTCAGACTGACTCACCGCCGCACGTTGCTTCTTCTTCGTTGCCGCATCCTTTCGAAGGAGCAAACGTAAAATAAAATTTATGAGATCAGAAGCCTTGTTTTTCTTACCTCGAATCTGTAAGGCAAGTTTGTAATCTTTTTTTTTTTTAATATTTATTCGTTTCTTACGCGGGAAAATGCAAATCGATAAATCGCGTATTGCTTCTTGAAAAAAAATCTAATGAATAATGCAACACAGCTAGATAACCTTTAAATTTTTCCATCGCTCGATTAACGATAGCTGGATCAATTAAAAAAACATGAACTAGATACGAGAAATGTAAAAAAGATGATGTTTTTAAGTTGAAGAAAGAGATCGCCTTATCGGATGTCCTTGTTTATTCTTCAGGATCATTACTCGATGTCTTTTTATGTAAATAAATTAGAGTTACGTGTCGTATTATATAACGGCACAGTGCGCGCATAACTATCCATAACTATATCCAATAACGTTATAATAGAAAATAAGTCTCGCTGCGTATCGAGCAGCAAGAAAATGATACAGCATTCTCCACGTTTAAGGATTTATTAGAGCATTAGTATAGTTATTCGTTTCTTAAACGTTCGAGAAGACACATTTAGGCTGAAGTGGGTGCTTCAAGAGGAACGACGATGTTTTCCATATTGTCGAGCCCGTGGCGGTGGTTAGAGAGGGTTAAACCCCGTTGTTCTTTTTTCTCTGGCGGCGGATCCCGAAGTTTATTGGCTCGACGTTGTTCAAAGTCGAAAAAATAAGCCAAATAGTCTGCCGCGCGAGGGGCCGAGGATCGCAGGAAAACGTACGGAGGAGAGGATGAGGAGGAGAGCGAGAGAAAAAGAGAGGGAGGCGTATCGGAGTATGGCAAATTTCGTCTTTGACGGCAGTGGAGAGTGTTTCTCACGAAATTTCTCATCGTGATTCGCGAGCTCTATTCTCTAATTCGAATCGCTGCTGATTCACTCATGACATCTCACAAAGCGGGCGAAACAATCACGAGCGATGCGATCAGACCGCAAACATCTTTCTTCTCTTTTAGCGGATCCTCGCCGCGATTGAGTCAGCGTTAAGAGGTAATTGATTTTTGCGTTCGGCAAACAGGTTCGATAAATCGTTCCACGAGGATATCGACAGGATACACCGGCGGGACGTCTCTCTCTTTCTCTCTCTCTTACGATTCTCGCGTCTCCCTCGCTCATCTCGTGTGAGAAGTTAACAAGTCTCTATCGCTGACGTCATTGGCGTAAATCTACGTTTGTTCGATGGTTGATGGGCCGCTTCACAGCCCGACAGCCGAGGTTCTATAATAATTCTAAATAATTAAGTTTATAAGCAGATTTGTGTAATAATTCGTAACTTGCAACCTTGGCAACACATGTGGAAATACCTGAATACATTTCGGCAAGAGAGACTGGTACGAATTGAAAGTCAAATTAACTTTTTATACTGATATAGAATGGACGCCGACATACGCTATTCAATCGCATAAAGTCGCTAAAACGACGTATTAACACATTTATTGTGCCTTTTAACTTCCTCTATAACGAAAACTCCATTTAATGGAATAATTCAATGATTGTAATAAGATTATAAAAAGTTTACATTTTAAAATAATTTAACGACAAACTTGCTAATTAATGTAATTTTGATAATTTGATTACAGAAACGAGACGCATGACAGACGATATCAAGCCGGTGTCATCAGGTGAGGGCTCAGCAGTTTTCGGCGACGTGATCGAGAAATGTCGGATGCCGCCGGCACGGATAATCCGGCGTTCGCCAACGAGGATGAGAACGGTTCCAAGTTGGAGAACGGCGGCCAGCAACAAGCGGCTTTAAATCAGGATCGTAAGTCGGCGGACGGTACGCCAGTAGAAAATGGCCACCAGCGATCCTTCATCTCCCAACACTACGTCGAGCCCATTAAGCCGAGCTCGGAGCCGTGTTATAAAACGGAAACGAGGATCGAGGTGCCGGCTGATAACACGGAAAAGAGCTTGCCGGAACCGAAGCTTAATGGCGTTCACGGAAACGGCAACAACAACGACGCGAGCTTCCTCAACAACAGTGCTACAAGTGTGCAGATCAACGGTGAGTATCATGTGCAAAATAGTTTACTACTACATAGATATACTGAGGTCTGAACACAATGTTATGAATCTAAAACGTTACGAGAGTACAGGAAAAACTTGACAATTGGAAATGATTGCATTTCTAAAAGATCGGGTTAACTGGACGTTTCTAACAGATGTAATGTAGAAATAGAATAGAAGGGAAGATACTGCGAATTCGGAGAAGAGCTTATCGGCTCTCATTTTCGTCGTCATAGGATTTCAACAAGAGAGTAACTTTCGATCCAAATTAATTACCAGCATTGGCATTATTACCGGTTTATAGAGAAAAAAAGTCCATAGCCGATGAAATCCCAGGAAGTATCGCACTCGGACTTTTCATGATGGTGCCGTTGACATTGCAATTTTTAATATAACTGATGTCGCCTTGAATGTTTTTCTATCATCGCGCATGTATTTAGTAATAGCAAATTTTCCTAACTATACTATTATTCTTATCTAAACTTAATTGAATCATTTGACACTTCTCTTCATTAATTATTTATTTGTTTCTATATTTCTTATAAACATGCAATTCCACTTTGTATGACTTTTATTTTCCTCGTTAAACTATGTAAGAAGCAGGAAACTCGGTCCTGTTTAGCCTCATTATTATTTCACGGAATGCGGTTTCTCCGCTGTTTCGTATGTCACCGGAAAATGAAAACCGGTTGCACCATACGCATAGATATAGTAAACAGTTTCCCGTTTTCCCGTAGACTCTGGAAAGAAGGAACAAATCGAGGCCGTAAACCTGGAACTGGTCTCGATGAGGCCATACACGGGCAACAATATCCAAACGAAAGGTCAGGAAGCTTGCGAGGTACCAGCTGATCCTTACGAGGAGTATTTCGTACCGGTTAACGAGCATCGAAAGTACATCAGGTAACGTTGTTTGTCGATGCGAACAAATATCTGGTGCTTACGCATTCTGTTCTTTTTTTTTTTATCTCTGGCTCCGCCTTTTAACTCCTATTAACTGTTTGTCGTGACTATCAGTCCAGCGTGCGTATTCTTCCGGATTTTAAAAACGAAGCGTGATAGAAAGAAAAGAAAGAGAAAAAAAATGTACAGCTTATAGGACCTTCGCTTATGTACATATACCAGATTAATATTTATTTTTAATCAGTTGTTAAACAAGATACACACTACTCATCATTGTTAAAATATGTTTCCAATTGAAGACCATTTTTGTAAATGGAAAATGTTGAAAATGTGCAGAATAAAATGTCAAAAGTGCTACGAAGCGAAAATCTACCATACTGACTAGAAAATAGTAGCGCGCGATAGTTCATTTATCTTGATATTCATATTAACAAACTATACTGCAAACACTATGTGTGTCATATTTACCTATTCACCTAGAATTGTGGTGAAAACGTTTAGGAGACGTGCATATGTGTAAGATAGATATATATACATATATCCTAGAGAGAGGAAACACGTACGTATCCGTTCCGTTGCCGATGAAATTATCAGGCGATAAAGATGCAACATTTTAACAGCAGGTAGCATAGAGAGCTTGGCCAAGCTGCTGATAAAAAAAAGCCTTACAATGGAAAATAAAGAGTTAGAAAGTCTTTTCTGTTATAACGATACTTAGCAGGGGTCCCGAGGCCGAAGTAGAAACAACCGTAGCTGGAGTACGTTTTGATTTGGGCCCCGGAGTCGGCCGCGAGGGACTCAGCCTGAGAGACCCTGCCGCCGGACTGGTCGACTATTCCCACTGGCTGACAGCCCTCAGGTACTTGACGGATGCTTTCCAGGAAAAAAAAAACAACAAACAAAAAAATACCGCTGGGGAATTGTCTTAGTGGAATATACTTTAGGTGTCTCTTAGGGGCACGCGGTCGCGCACTAACATGCTTATGCTACCAGTCCTCGCCCATGTCAAATCAAATACGTTTCTTCGTAAGAACTGCACGTCCAATGAATTCGTTCTCCGTCTCGTATCGTGTCGATGCTCGACACGCCGACTCAGCTTCTTCGAATAAAACAATTTCGATACGACCGCTGCTATGAACGTAGGGATATCATCGATAATTAACCCCTGATGAAATCAGGATTAATTAATCCCGCAGTCGGAACACTATGCAAATCAAATCTCGCGACATGTTACCATCGTTCTCCGAAAATCCATCGAAGATACAAGCAAGGAAACTGCGCGGCAGGCGCTACTTATTACGTACACAATCAAGAGATTAGACATTCGAAACGGGAAACATTAGACTGGGTGTGATGTACCAAGGAAGCTTCTAATCCCATTTGGCTGGCCATTGACGAAGGTTGCTAGGAATCACGTTACAACGCTGTACAAAAAATGCTTTCTGGGTTTAGGACAAAGAAAATACATGAAATGGATTCATCGTGTTTCTATGTGGTGTTGAAATTGTGTTGCAGGGGCGAGAAACTTTACGTCACGAAGGACAAAAGATCCAGGAATTCGTACTGGAGAAGAATGGCTTGGGGATGCGCGCTATTAGTCGTGATGATTGCCGTGATTATTGCCATTCTGGCCGCAAGTAAGATGACTTTTCATTTTCTTAACTTTAGATTTATTTTTATTAAATATACACATATCCGTGATATAATAAAAAATATAATAAATTAGTTACTAATATAATAAATTATTAGTTATAGTTACCAGTTATAATTACTTTTTAAGTGAAATACAATTATTCTGAAATAAAAACTATGTATTTTTTTATAGCTGGTGTATTCCCGACACAAGAAGCTACGGAACCCTTGGAGAACTTTGAAAATAGTAATACTCGCCAAATTAATGAAGTACAGACTGCTGGAAGTCAAGAATATATAAAGGATCCACCGTTAAGTCCACCACCTTTAACTTCGACTTTTCCACCGTGGCCTACGACTGAAGAAACACTATTCCAAATTGTACCAGATGCTTTGGATGGAACATTGAGATTAGACGATTTCAATTGGAATGATGATTTGAGCGATATCAAGTCGCGAGTGTACAGACAAGTAAGCGCTGAAATAGAGAAGCATCTAGGGAATATTCTTCAACAAACAGGCAGCACATCTATAATCAAAGTATATGATATTAATAAGGAAGGCGAGGTAAAATTCAGAATAAGTCATCCACCTCGAAATGCTCCTGAAGAAAATCAAGAATATATTGAAGACATGATACGAAAAAATGGTAACATGATTGGACAGTATCATTTAAACAGACTTCACGTAGGAAAACTTATCGATCAATGTGAACATAGTAACCTCGGATGCACTGGAAGCTGTAAATACGATTATCCCGCTGGTATATTTGTATGTACCTGTAATTCAAAAGAAATCTTGGATCAGGATGGCAAAACCTGTTTACCTGATAGCGACTTGAGTAATGTTGAAATGGACGATATAAGTTCGCAATCCAGCACGGAACCAATTAATGATTTTCAGGGTAGAAGTAGAGATCCAGGAGCGGTAGATTTTGAACCCAGGCATCCCAATACTTGGGAAAATCCGGATTTTAAGATAAATTCAGCAGAAACAGATACATCTATATTGGAGCCTAACACAAAACATCACGAGCAATTTGATCAGAAATCAGCAATAGATCAGCCATCGACATCAACGACGGAACATATTTTTGAAAATGATAATTTCCATTGGAATGAACATTCACATCATTCGATAGAAACCACTTCTGAAACAGAACCGTCTATTAAACCATTTACTACAGAACCAACAGTACAATCATTTACTGTCCCTATCTTTGAACAAGAGTATGTACCTTCTGCTGAACCAGAACCTATTGCTGAACCAGAACCTACTGCTGAATCAGAACCTACTGCTGAACCAGAACCTACTGTTAAATCAGAATCTGTTGCTGAACCTGAACCTACTATTAAGTCAGAATTTGCTGTTGAGCCAGAGTCTACTGCTAAGCCGGAGCCTACTATTGAATCAGAATCTGCTGCTGAACCATCTGCTGAACCACAATCCACTCTTCCACCAGAAATAACTATTCAACCAGAACTTACTGTTAAATCGGAATCTACAACTGTACTCGAACCTGTTGCTGAATCAAACCCCAATTCTGAATCTATTGATGAATCAGTGCCCACTGTAAAATCAGAAATTATTCCTGAAATGGAATCTACTATTGAAGCAGAACCTATCACTGAACAAGAATTTACTGTAAAAGCGACGCCCGTTACAGAATCAACAGCACCTATAAGTAAAGTAGATAGTGAAATAAAATCAAACACTCAGTTTCATTATTTGACGACAGAACCGTATTTGGAGTCAAAAACTGAAATATTCAATCAACCTGAAACTACTGTTAAATCAATATCGCATGACAATATGTCTGGTGAATCATCTACACAAACATCACTTTTGAACGATGTTAATACGACTGATATGCCTAAAATTCTTATTGATTCAACAGTTAAAAATGACTCCAGAAATGAGGAATTTCTAACCACGACTGTAAAAACTAGTGAAAATCCAGTAAACAATGATAAATCTCTGGAGGTAATACCTTTAATATCTAAAAATAAATCTACAGTTATCAATGATAATATGGAAACTAAAACGGAAACGATGACAATGCCATCTTATGCTAACAATGATGATAAAAGTACTGAAAGTACAACTATCGAAACAAGTCTGACTACTTTAAATTATGAAAATTTTAAATATAATGATAATGAAAATATTACATCGGTCAAGCCTGAGGAATCAGCAACGGAGCAATTCACACGAAATCCTAATTTGCACGAAAATAAAGAAATTGATTCTACTACAGAAATAAATCTTGATGGAAATTTAAATAATATTCAGGAGAAAAACTTTTCTGATGAATACAATTTAACCAAACAACACTATTCAAACACTAGATCAGATGTTACTGAACAGTCTACTTTAACTACTCCTGCAACTACTGTGCCGATCGTATCAACAGAAGAAACAGAATTGACTACTAAGTCTATAAATAACGACAGAAATTTCTTGTCATCGACAGAACATTTCCATACAATAGAAATAAATGGTATAAGTAATAAGAATCCACAGGTGTACAGCCCTAAAATACGTCCTGAAACAACCACAATGTCGGAAACTACTTCAACTGACATATTTACTCAATCAATACCTGGATATCGACAAGAATACATCCCCGAACCTGCGTTACAACCAGATTTAAACGAGAAAAATGTTATCGAACATATGCCAACAACAGTGTTTCCTAAAGTACCGAAAAATTTTGCCCACAATGTCGAGCCACTGAAAGAACCCATCGCGAAAACGGACGACGAACATATTATGCTGATACCGAAATCCGAACAACCAGTTGAGATACACGCGATAATTCCGCAACTCATTCCGGAACAAGTTACAAATAAATCTCTGAGAGCAGAAAATTCGACGACAGAAAGAAATAACGGAATCGTAGTTAATGAAGATATAAATGCCGAAAAGTCGGCAGAAGACGCAACCTCGATCGGCTTATCCGCGCGTCCTAATGATAAACCCACGGCAGGTCCTGATGAAATTCAAGAACATTCAACGAGTCATCCTCTTCATCCGGCAATATTCCCAGAAAACTCAGTTGATCAGTTTGCAGGAAAACCTGACGATCGACCTGTTGAGGATATGTCGCCATTCTTACCGGACGTTCACAGGGAGAAAGAAAGTATGAAGAAAGCGCCACGCTTGGATAAAGACGAGCAAGACATTCCTAATCCTTTCGAAACTCACATCGACGATATTATAACACATCGGCCATTAATACATAATAATGCAGACAGAGTGAACGAAACCGAAACCAAAGATTTATTGAATGACGTTAATGACTCGCATTCGGCACAGGACGAAAAGAAGGTGGATATTACGAAAAAAGCTGCGCAAAATCACGAAATGAATATAGACAACGACGCTAATAACATTGTCAAGAATGATTTAAATATCAGCGAAGTTATCAACGATACAGAATCTAAAATTCAGAACGTGTTGCAGCAAGATAGTTCTTCAAAATCAATTAACAACGGAACAGAAGATATTATAGATCAGAAAAACAGCGTTCTCTCTAAAGATAATGACGAAGAATCAAAAGTAATTCCATTGCCGGTAAAAGATAAATCGGTAGATTCAATTTCTCAAACTACAATGCAATCTATAGATAAAGAAACGTCAGAACCTGTGGAGATCGCTATGATGACTTCTGCCGGAAAGAAAGTAGAGGAAGAAGTTGGAAGTGTCGCGATAGAAAGTAGTGTGACCAGCTCAGAGAAACCAGAAGAAAACGCTGTCGAAGATCATTACAATGATATTACGGATGAAACTTTAGTGAAAGGATATCAACACGATAATACCGATAAGAAAGTTCCGGTTAAAGTCATAGAGACATCCAAGAAAGCGGTTTTGAATAACATTGAACCTCTAAAAATTCCTTACAACGATCTACGTTCATTCGATGTTACAAATAAAAAGAATAAAACGGACGACAGAATATTTACGGTGCCAAATCCGATCGCAATCTGGAAAGATGCGGACATGACAGATGACAGATTGACCACTCAAGAACCTGTGTTACCAATGGAAATCCAACAAGAGATGTTGACGACAATAGCAATCGACAAAGCTGAAACCATCACTGTTATTGATGACAAACAAGCTGAGAAAAATACGGAACACCCAACCGTTGACCAGTCCAACGAAAAAGAAATTATTACAACAACCCAAGCAACACTTGAAACTAAAACTACAGCCCAGGTCCCGATCTTGCCCGAGGAGCTGCAAACGACAGAAAGCGAGATATTAACGACGATGTCAAGTGAAGACAAGGGAGTGAAAGAGGCAACTGTCGATAAAACGGAATCATCAATTTCGATAGATAATGTTAACGATGAGATGAAAAAGAACGATGCCGAAAAAGAGAAAGATGATGCCGATGCTGTTGCGCCCAGCGATGCAATGGATATGAACAGTACGTCGGAAAGAAGCATGGCAGCGACGACGGTATATGAAAATAACGTAAATATAGAATCTGGTCAGAGAATAGAAACTAATAACGAAAGGGCGACCGAGAATGCGACGGAAAACGCAAAAGCTGCGACTACTCTTATGATGTCTACGACGGAAAAAGTAAATGGCGTGGAAGGAACCTCGCCTATGCCCAATGATATCACCACCACGGAAGACGTCAGACCAGTTACAGAACTGTTGGATGACACGCAACCCATGATAGATTACAGATCGCTACTGTTCACCACGATACCGCCAAAATCGATATCATTTGACTCGGAATTGCCTGAAGAAGCGCTTAGGGTAATACCGCTGGAGAAAAGTCCGGAAAGCAAGAAGAAATCGATCGACAAGAAAGGATTCGATAAGTACAAGTACAAAAAAGAGAAAGATCTGAGTCTGGAGGATCAGAATGAGGATAACGTGTTAACGGAAAGGTCTAATCCAGCGATCTTTTCGCAAACGGAACTTCCGATAATTACCACCGGAGATCGCTACGAGGAATTAAACGATAGTGTGGTAAGCTCCGATTTAGATCTAAGCATACCCAGGTTCATCGTGGCTGACAAAGATACAGGCAACATCCTGCCCGCGTCAAAGTTAAATCCGAGCTTGGATAAAAGTGAAAATAAGGATACGGTCGTAGAAACGAAACCTAAGAATTATCCTAGCTTCATACCCGTGTCGGAAGAAATAATAGAGTCGGTACCCGTCACGGAACCCTACGTAATCACCCTACGAAATTACACTTATACTCATCCCGTAATCTCACCGGACGGCGCCGACAGCACGGCTGTGAACGAGACGGCAAACGAAGGTCGTGCCAATGCGAGAGCGAACGAGACGGCTGGACAGGACGTCACCTTTTTCTCGGATCAATCGTTCAGCGACACCGAGGAAACGGAAGTGGAGCGTATTACGGAAGAACCGAGTCGGTTGACCGTGCGAACCTCACCGTTGAACGTCGAAAGTACTACCGCTGCCATCAACAGCTCTTCGGAATTTCCATCTTTTCCATTTTTTTCTAAATGCACCACCGGTCAATTTCAATGCGTCAATGGTACATCGAGGGATGGCGCATATTGCGTATCACAGTCCGCCAAATGCGACTCCGAACATGATTGTTCCGACGGCTCGGACGAGTTGAATTGTGAAGCGGAAGGTTGCCTGAGTAATTTTCGCTGCGCTAGCGGACAATGTTTGAAGAGGCATCTTGTTTGCAATAAAATCATAGACTGCGACGACGGCAGCGATGAGCACGATTGCGAAAACTGGCAGTGTCAATCTGATGAATTCCGATGTCCAAATGGTAAGTCTGATACATCGAGAATAATTTGTGTACAAAATAATCATTAGAAAGAATGTGAAAATAATAACGACGACGAGTAATAAAGTTCTCTAAAATCTAAGTGAGATTATAAAATTTTCACCATTACAGGAAGATGCATTCCGGGATTGTGGCAATGCGATGGTCGACCCGACTGCGAAGGACACCAGGACGAATACAATTGTGCAGAAAGTTGCGAAAATAATCAGTATTTGTGTCCAACCGAGAAATGGTGCATCCCGCAAGCGTGGCATTGCAATGGAATTACTGATTGTGCTAATGGAGAAGATGAGAAATTGTGCGACTGTGCCCTGGATCAATTCAAGTGTCAAACCGGTGGATGCATCCCTCAAGTTCAAGTCTGTGATGGCATCGAAAACTGCCCGGATTATTCGGATGAGTGGGGTTGTCTGATGGCCAACATCACCGCGGATAGAAATCTAACTATGGAAACAAATACCGACAGTAACTCGGCGAGCGAACTCATTAATGGCGTGCCATTCTTGAAGATAAGGTATTTAGATACGTATTGAATAAAAATGCTATATACAATCGTCAATCTTACATACTTTTCTGATTTTTAATATAAGTTCAAAATCAAGCTCAAAACCGTGAGTCTTCAGCTCAAACCGTTAGTGCATTTCCTTTCCTAAAAAAAAATTATAAATAATTATAAAAATATTATAAATTTTTATTACGTTAAAAGTAATTAATAAGTTAACATTTAATTTAATATTTGGAGAATTTTTGGAGAAATATAAAAATGTTTACATAAATATATAAATGGAAAAAATCTTGTATAAAATATTGAAACATAATGAAGATAAATAATATTAAAATTTTTACAATATTTTTATACTATTTTGTAATTAATTAATGCTATATAAAAAAGACATAAATTTATGTATGCAGACAACATGATGGTGATTATCGACTAGTCTGCTCGGACGGATGGAGCGAAGAGTTTAGCAATTCCTATTGTCAGGCTTTGGGATTCGCCGGATCTGATGAGACGATCGAATCGCCCGCGTGGAACAGAAGCCAGAAAATTCTAAGACTGAAAACGAATCCAAATTATCGCCTACCACTAGTCACGAATCTAGAGGAAATGGAATTTTGCGTGTCGGACAAGGTCGTAAAAGTATCGTGTCAGGAGTTTACTTGCGGTTTGCACTCTGCGGAGGAACCAACCGCAAGATCGGCAAGTGGAATTACAGCTAACAATGAACAATGGTCTACTGTAGCTTTGCTAAAAGAATTAGAAGGAGGAACCGCTTGTACAGCCAGCATACTTGGCCCCATGCACGCTCTAGCCAGTTATTCTTGTATTTACAGGTAATTTCATATAAAAATAATTGCGATGAATTTTATTTATAAATAAATCGTATTTAAAAATGGATTGAAAATGCTTAATGTTTATCTTTCTTAATCTTGTAATTTTTTTCGCCTTATAAAATATACAGTATCTTACTTTTGATATAATACAAGATATACTGTGATATTAATATATATTTTTCTACATTTGATTCTGTAGACACAAAAATAACAACAGATGGCAACTTTTCGCTGGTGGGACTATGCTAAAAGGGCACATCGTTAAGAGTATCGTGCCTTATCCTCAAGTAAAGTATAATCAGTTCCTGTATAATCACGACATTGCTTTAATCGAATTAGGAGAGCCGTTAGTATTCTCCAGAAATGTTAGCGCCATATGTCTCCCGAGACAACCTATCCAGGTATGTCATTTATTAAATTCTCTGAATATAACAAGATATATAATTAATTATTTAATATTACTTTTAATATTATTAACTATTATTAACTATTTAATATTGTTTAATATTACATTTGTAATATTCGGTGATTTTTCGTATTTCAGCCAAGGCAGATTTGCGTAACGGTAGGATGGGGATTTCCTATGAATGAGGAAATGAACTTGCAACAATATCTCAAATTCTTGTCGGTTCCAACGGATGATTCCGATAGATGTAACGCTACGAGTCATTATGCAGATTTCCTCACGGAACATGATATATGCGCGGATAAAAGCCCTTGTTATGTAAGTTTAACATTATGAAAAGAACAATATTCATATCCATAATTGCTCATTTCTAAAATGGAGTAAAAGTTAAAGCATTAAAAACTTGAAATTAAATATATGTTAAGAAATAAATTAATGTGCATACTTTTAGAATGACGAAGGAGCGCCACTGATGTGTGCCAGTGAATCGCAGGGTTCGTCGGAAAGATGGGAAATTCAAGGCTTACTAAGTCATCATAGCAGATGTTCGAGAGGTCATCCAGCTATCTACTCGAGTTTAGAACCAGCGCTCTCGTGGTTGCGCGAAACAGTGCCAGCTTTGCGAACGCAAAGCTAAATCATTATTACACCGATTTCTCGAAATATGTAAGAAACCGGTACTTCATATTAGGCAAAAAGAGTTTTAATAAATTAAAAAGAATACATAAT